GTATTTCATCGTTTCGTTAACTTGTGCGCTTCCTCGCGCGGATCGCTTGACTGACGTGCGCGTGTTGATTGACGTGTGCGCGTTGACTGACGTGCACGCGTTGATTGACGTGCGCGCGTTGACTGACGAGCACGTGGGCCACTTGAGGGTGGTTTGAGCGCACGGGACACTTGGTTTGCCATTCTGGTGGCTGACGAGCGTGTGGGCCACTTGGCGTTTGTCGTTGTGGTGATTCGTTACCGCGTCATCAACGGTTCGCCGATTCGCTTCATGCGCTTGTCGGCATAGGATAATCCTATTTGACTCAGATAATCCTCTTCGACTTGGATAATAACGTTCACCGCCTTCTCTTTGTCTCGAGCTGTATTCGGGGACCTATAGGTAATTTTTGACTCCTACAGATACCCCCTCCAAAGAATTTTAGATTCATTCTTTTATAGAGGAGTCTGGAATACTTTGGATAAGATAGGCCCTTTCCTCAATCTCGTAGAGGGGCCTGTGAACTGTTTAATTCTTGACTTTTTCAGCCTTCAGTCTATTCAGTGTTTTGTCAAATAGATGAAGTTCTTCCGGCGCTGTATTTATCGTTTGACCGTTGTCAAAATCTTGAACTGAAATTGATGCGTAAGTTTCTGAATCTAGCTCATGTTATTGAGTTGACTTTGAACTGATCATCTTCGTTAGAAATTCATATCTGAATGCGATTGAACTCCTTGGAATCATCCTCTGCCTTATTTTAGCGAAATTATCGATGTGTTGACCAGCATCGACCTTTACTGTAACGCGTTATCCGGCGTTGACTTTTGTTGTAATTGTTAGCCCTTATGTTTTGATGATGTTCTTACAACCACCATTATCGGTACTAATGGCTTATTGAGTGTAAATGTAGTAAAATCATTTGTCAAGCTCGTTAGTGCCATAAATGGAGGATGGATGGAATATATGCTACAACGAAGATATCCAAAGGAGGAGGAGGCCAAGAGATGAAGCAACGTTATTTCAAGAACGTCAAATTCGATTAAAAGCTTCATCCGATTCAAGCTATATCAAAGCTCAAGTATATTGCTCTCTATATGAGGATATTAGCTTTCTTTTGTTTTTCTCTCTAGTGCTAGAATGTAGGCAAAGAGTTACTGAGTTTACTTGAAGCTATTGGGAATCACACACACGTTTTTAAACTTGTGCTTTAAGCGTTTTTCACAAAATACTATTTTTTACAAGTTTGAGTACCTATCTGCAAAATTCTTTTTCCAAGCAGTTTGTTTTTAGTATTAAAAACATTTTACAAAGTTTCAGAATTTTCAGAGGTAAAATGAATATTTTGGAAATATTTCAACTTGGTCAAATAACCTGATTTCAGAATATGTCAGAAATCGGTCGACCGGTCCGGTCGACCGATCCGATGACCTTTCTTCACTATGTCTCCAGAGTGTCGTCGGTCGACCGATACGGTCGACCGAATTTCTCAACCCTTAATCGGTGTCGGTCGACCGATGAGTCTCTGGATGTTTTGTCAAAACTCCTTAGCTGCTGGCAGTCGACCGATTTTTTCGGTCGGTCGACCGAAGGTATTTTTCGGTCGACCGATATTTTCTTCGGTCAACCGGTTTTTGCCTCTGTTCAGCCGCGATTTTTTTTAAAACGGTCGTTTGCCTCGAACCCTGTGCTTTCACTTGTTAGTGATTGGCACAGTCTGTGA